TGTGAGCATGTCTCCTTGGCTGATGGTTGAGGTGGTTTGGTGCCACCTCTGGGAAGGTGGTCCTGGGTTCTACAAGAAAGCATGCCGAGCAAGCCAGGAGAAGCAAGCCAGTGAATAGCATCGCTGCATGGTCTTTGCTCCAGTTTCTGCCTCCAAGTTCTCGATTGAACTTCCCTCAGGGACGGACTGTTACATGGAAGTGTAAGAGGAAATACACCCTTTCCCCTAAAGTTGGAATTGGCCATGATGCTTTATCACAGCAAATGTAATTTGCAACATGAGGGTGTTAAGAGATGGGGCCTTTGGGAGGCAATGGGGCCAGTGCCCTTATAAGAGACCCCAGAGTTTTACCACCCCTTTTACCATGTGGGCACACAGGTGTGAAGGCAGGTGTGGCAGCTCCTGTCTGTAGTCTCAGCTCTTGGAAAGTGGAGGCAAGAGGATCGATGTGAGTTTCAGGCCAGCTTGAGGTCTGGAGTCAGACCATGTTTGTGTGTGTGTGTGTGTGTGTGTGCACATGTAAAACTCAGAGGACCGCTAGTGGAAGTCAGTTGTGGGTCCTGACAATATCTCATTAGGCTTGGCTGCAAGCATCTTTATCCTACAAGGTGTCTCATAAGCCTCACCCTCTTTACAAGAGCAGCAACACATGCAGAGAATGCACACCTTTAATCCCAGCTCTCAGGAGACAGAGGCGGGTAGATCTCCAGGTTTGAGGCCACCCTTGTCTACAGACTGAGTTCCAGGACAACCAAGGCTATACCTGTTTGTAGCCTGTCTACAGAGACCCTGCCTTAGGAAAAGAAAAGCAACACAAAGAAGCCATTTAGCCACTTGTGACACAATTGGGCCCTCAACAGAAAATGGGTCTGTCACACGTCCAGCTCAGACTTCAGCCTCCAGAATGTGGACAGTTGTTATTTATAACTCTTGCAGCCTCCGGTGCTTTGTTACAGCAGTCTGGATGAAAGGAAACAGTCTCTCCTGTAGGAGTGGAAGGGAGTTGATGGTCTAGGGCTTACAGCCTAGACAGTCAGTCTTAGAACTTTTGAGTTTGGGAATACAGGGTGTAAGATGTGTGCATGATATCTGTGTTTGTGTATACATGCATGTCTCCTGTCTTTGTGTTTGTGTGACTCTGTAAATTTTGGTCTGTGGTTCTGACATGGTGGTGGCTCTATGTAAGAATGTAGACTTGCCTGTGGGTGACTGTGCATAGCTGTTCATGTGGGTCTCTCCATAGTACAGCAACTTTATTTGGCTTCCATCACTGTGTTTAGAGTGTCAATGACTCAGGAGAAACCATGAACTCAACCAAGTCTCTTCCCAAAGCATTGTGGGACTGAGCCCTCCCACAGGACATAGTGCACCCACTGTAGGATGGATGATGGTTCCAGAGTCCCAGTTTGTCAAAGATGAGAAGGTCCCCAGAAACCAACCCATCCTGGGGTTTAAAAAGAAAAAAAGTCTTCCATGATACCCTAAAACATACATAATTCTGTCTCTCTATTCTTATTCTGGCAATTCTTTCAGATTGACACAAAGCATTTGCCTAGAACAACAAGAGTTGGCAAACTATAGCCATCCATTTGTTTTTGTAAATAAAGTTTTATTTGGACAGAGCCAGCCGTGCTTATTTATGTATCAGTTATGGGTGCCCAACTCCCATAGCCATAAACCGAAACCACTATTGCCTGCTCCTTCTCAGAAAAATAAAAAAAAACAAAACAAAAATTGATCTGTCTTCCGAGGGTCTAGGGCCTAACAGTTCTGGGATTTAGATTTGAGCCTTCATGGGAATGGAGGGAATATAAATATTTTTGACTGTGGAAGTGAGAAAGGTACCAACCTCACATCCCTTCCATCTGTTGTTGGTGCACTGGTCCATGAGGGCGGAGGGAGCAGAAGTGGGGAACAGGGCTCAGATGGCTGTGGGTAAGGTGGAGAAAGCCCTTCAGGAGATGACGTCAGTGAATCTGCTCAACTTTATTCCAGGACTGGGAAACCTGGGGACAAGACTTAGTTAAGTGGCACACTTCTACCACAAGGCTTCTTGTGTAGTAGCAGGGCCCTTAGCACAAGTCTTCATTACAGTATGCGCAGCAGGAAAGGCTGCTAGCAGGAAACTGTGCCAAGGGTCACATTAGAGATAAATCGGGCATCCTGGCTTAGAGACAGCTTTCAGATAAGATCAGCCCTCTGGGCCCAGGGACAGTCTCCAGATAAGGGCAGGCAGAAAGCAGAAGTTTCGCTGGGGGTGGCAGAGGGAGTCCTCCAGCTTTGGCAAAAAGCTGCCAGGCCATGATAGACTGCAACCTCTGACCAGCCAGCAAGGCCTCCCAACATTCCACCTTGCTGTTTCCAGAAAGGTAGATAGGATGTCTATTATTATTCTTGATGATGTTGGCTTGTCCTAGTCACAGATAGGATTTGGAGAGTGTCCTCTTTATGGATTCGTTACTGTAGTTAAATAACAAATTTTCCTCAAAACTCTTGCTTGAAAAAAGCAGACAATACATTCTTGATTTTATGCTTTATTTAAAAGTTAATTGGCATATATATATATATATATATATATATATATATATCTTATTTTACATATCAACCCTTCTCTCTCTCCCTCACTCCCATGCCCCCAGAACCCCTTCCATCCCACCCCCATCCCCCCTCCACAGGGAGGGTGATGATGCCTTCCAGGAGGGATCATCAAAATCTGTCAAGTCATTTGGAGTAGAGCCTAGGCCCTCTCTCCTGTCTCTAGGTTAAGGAGTATCCCTCCATAGGGAATGTGTATCTTTGTGAGGGTATATGCTCATGGGTTCTGTTGCCCAAAGAGGCCTGAAGAGATCATCATACCAGCTGGAGCTGGATCCAGCCAATGCAAGTGGTGGGAACTAAATCCAAGTCCTTACTCAGGTCCTCTGCAAAAGCAGTACACACTCTTTTCCTTTTTAAATTTTCAATTTATTTTTATTTTATGTACATGTTTTTCATGGGTGTGGGATCCCCTGGAACTGGAGCTACAGACAGTTGTAAGCTACCATGTTGGTGCTGGGGATTGAACCCCGATCCTCTGGAAGAACAGCCAGTGCTCTTAACCACTGAACCGCTGAGTGGTGCGCACTCTGAACTGATGAGCTATTATTGCTCTAACCTCTCTCCTTTTGAAATACAGAGCTATATGTCCCAGGCTGGCTTGGAACTCACTATGAAGCCAAAGATGGCCTTGAACTTCCGGATCCTCCTTCCTCCTCCTCCTCCTCCTCCTGAGTGCTGGGACTACAAGTCTGTTTATGTACTGGAGATGGAACCCAAGGCTTTGGGTATGTCAGATAAGCACTGTGCCAACTGAGCCCAAATGTCTGGTTACTTAAAAACTCCATTTCCGATACTTTTCTATGAGTTAGTTTTCTAGCTTCTTCTGAAGGGAGTCTGTAAATTTTTTTCCCCTAACAGATCCAGTAAATAAGATCCCCCAACCCCTCCCTTTTCTCCTTGGCTAAAAGTCTGTGCGCCTGTAAGCCTGGAATTGTCATTATCAGTCATAGACTCATAGGAACAGCTGGTCTGAATAATAATAACACAGAAATAGAAACGGAGATGAGAGGCAAAGGAAGGGAAGCTGGAGTGGCTTTCATTATGTGGATGCAGGCATCTGAGGATGTTTCCACAACTCTGTGTTTTCTTCAGTTTGCTTACATAACCCACTGTCCGTCCTTCCGTCTGTCCTTTCTTCCTCCCTCCCTCCCTCCCTTCCTTCCTCTAAGGTTTTCTTGGATTTTTCCTTTTGTCATTTCCATCCAAGAGGCTAAGTCAAGCTGTCAAAGAGGACATAGGTAAGGACTCAGGCATTACGCTGGCCTGCCCACCCTGACACCTGGCAGAATGCACTCAGGCAGTAACCTGGTCAGCCCAGGGTTCCGTGGTCTCTAGTCTGCAGGCAGGTGCAAAGGACCCCTTCAAAAGAAAGACCCGGCCCACTTATGTTCTCTTTCCTGCTGTTCCCCTGGGGCAGATAGAACTTTTCCTGTCTCTCTCTTCTTTTCTGTCCTCTCTCTGTCTCTGTGTCTCTTTATGTCTTTTCTCTTTCCTCCCCCCTTCCCTTTCTAACAAAACTTCTCACTAAGCCCTACTCAGACCCAAATTTGAATCTACATCTTAGATTAAAGCACGTCTTTAATCCCAGCACTCAGGAGGTGGGGCAGGGGGATCTCTGAGTTTGAGGCCAGCCTGGTCTACAGAGAGAGTTCTAGAGTTGTCAGAGTAGACCTTAATCTTGAAAACAACAAACAGAGCCAATTTCAAATGGGCCCAAGAGATGGCTCACTGGGTAAAGGTGCTTGCTGAAAAGAAAGCCTGACTATTAAGTTCGTTTCCTGGGCTCCACATGGTGGAAGAAAGGACCAATTCTCACAAGTTATCCTCTGACCTCCCACAGGTGTGTACCCACTCACATGCATGAAATAAGAGTAGTAGTAATAATAATTGTTAAAGCACCTTAAAAAGTTTCAAATATTGTAAAGGTAAAATAAAACCCATGCATATATATATATATATATATATATATATGCAGGAACACATCATTGTATATTGACTGTCAATAGATGCCTGTCTAATAAAAGTATAGACAGAACACACAAGAACGAAGCCAGGCGTGATGGCACAGTCTCTAATACTAGCACTTGGGAGATGGAGGTAGGAGAATCAGGAGTTCAAGGCTATCCTGGGGTGAGTTTGAGGCTAGCCTTGGCTACCTGAGGCCCCACCTCAAACAAACAAAAAAGCATAGCAGAGATTTAGATTACCTTACATAGTGTTTGCCTCTGGGTAACTGGGAGAGAGGGGAAAATAAGGGTAGCTACAGATGTGGGATATATCTGTAGGGAGAGCGCTTGCCTAATGAGTGTGAAGCCCTGAGTTTAAGTCTTGATATTGCGAAAAGGAAAATTTAAAATTAAAAAAGAGTAATAGAAGAAGAAGAAAAGCAAAATGTTGCTGTCTAGACAATGCCAGCCTACGTGTTTCCATTTATATTCTTCATTCTTCATTAGGACTGAATTATTTTGAAATTAAAAATTTTAAAAGAGGGCCATGCCTGATGTAGCACACCTTTAATCATAGTATTTGGCAGGCAGAAGCAGGTGGGTCTCTGTGAGTTCAGGGCCAGCCTGACCCACATAGCAAATTCCAGGCCAGCCAGGGTTACATAGTGAGAACCCTGTTTCAACAAACAAACAACAGCAAAGATAAAATACAAAACAAGATAACCCAAACACCAAAAAAATCACAGAAAGAGAAAATTATTCAAAAGGTGCTCATGAGCTAAGGATATTTATATAGACGATCCAAATGTTCACACTTCCATGCCTTCCTGTATTAAAACAATTGCAAACCTCAGTGACGGAAACTTTGGAAGCAAAGCATGTGTATGTGTCTCTGTGGGTGCGTGGGTGTGTGTTTGTCTCTCTGCATGTGTCTGAGTGTTTCTGTGTGTTCTTGTGTCTGTCTGCATGTGTCTGTGTGTGTATTTGTGTGTGTCTGTGTGTGTATCTGCATCTCTGTGTATGTGTGTTGACACAGGCTCTCCGTATGCAGCTAAGGTGTGACCTCAAAGTCACGATCTTCTGCTTCAGCCCCCTGAGTGTTGGACTCCGGGTGTCACTCACCACAGCTGGCTTCATGCTCGTATTTACACGCGTGATCACTCAGTGTCACTGAAACAAAGAAGTCCATGCTAGAGAATGCTGACAATGATGCATTTGAATAATCAAATGTGGTCTCTAACTGATAGCACACACAGAATAAACTCGGGGCTAGCCTACCCATCTAATGCCACACCCCTCCCTCTACCTGTGGGGCTGGAAAGGCTCCAAATGTCCCGGTTTCAGCTGAAATCAGGGTACATTTTGTTTATTTGTTTGTTTGTTTGTTCCTTTTTGGAGACAGGTTTCTTTGTATACATTTGCTGTCCTCAATCTCACAGAGATTCACCTACCTCTGCCTCTTGAGTGCTGGGATTAAAGGTGTGTGCCACCACTGCCTGACTCCAGGGTATATTCTCTGTGTGTGTGTGTATTATTTTGTTTTATGTGCATGTGTGTGTGCCTGATTGTATGTGTGCAGGAACCCATAGAAGCCAGAAAGCATTGGATCCCATGAAACTGAAGTTATAGGCAGTTGCCAACCATCATGTGGGTGCCAGGAATGGAACCCAGGTCCTCTATAAGAGCAGTAAGTGCTCTTAATGGCTAATGCATATATATCTCCGGCCCCCAGGGTGCATTTTTTCATGGATCTCTGTCTTGGTGTTGGGCCAGGCTGGGAGGAATGAACATCTGGAAGAAACTGAAACCCAGGGTTGAACTGTTAATACGGGTGGATGTTGGGGTGGGGTGGGGGTTCCTGAAGGCTAATTCCCAGGAGAGCTGTCACTGGGTCATTTGGTTGCTCTGTTTTTAGTATTTTGGGGGAAACCTCCATACTCTACTAGTTGTTTCTAGCAATTCCACTAGTGGCTGTACTAGTTCATACCACCACCAACCATATATAAAAGGGCTCATCCCTTTGCTTAAAAAAAAAAGAAAAAGAAAAAGAAAAAAGAATTTCATGATTTTCCGGTATCATCTCCTCCCTTGGAAAATGAGAATGGCTGGTTCTGAGAGGGGGGGACAGAGGGGGGAGGGAGTGGGGACGGGTGAGAGATTGTGAGTGGAACATGGAAGTATAGGAGGTGAAGACTGGAGGCAGAAGCAGGCTGCGGGGAGGGAGGTCAGGCTGAGCACAATTGATGACATTTAAACGGAGTCTCGGAAGAATGGGGTGGGGAGGAAGTGGGGTGTGACACTTGCCAAGGACTGTGCATTCGTTTACCTCTTGGGGGGCTCTTCATGTGATGAACCTATAAAACATACAGGAAGAAGATTTATATATGTGTCTGTCTATGTGTACACACATTTGTGGTGTGTGTGTGTGTGTGTATAACAGGGTGTCACCATGTAGTTCTGACTGTCCTAGAACTGTTCTTGTAGATCAGGCTGGCCTTGAACTCACAGCGATCCTCCTGCCTCTGCCTCCCGAGGGCTGAAATTAAAGGCATGCGCCGCCACCCACCTCCCACACCTTATCAGAATCTTTCTCTTGCCTCTCCCTCTCGAGCATGGATAACTAAGGCTTCTTAGCTCACCTTGCTGAGTGCACCTGTAGATAAAGTAGATGGAGACAAAGAGGAGAGAGATGCTGAGGCAGCTGAAGGTGGTAAGGAAGATGAGTTTGCTGCTGGATGGCCTGGGAGGATTTCCTCCACCTTCTCCCACACCGTCTGTACATTGGAGACAGAAACGGCAGCCGTGTCATGAGATGACCGAGAGGGAGCACATGTTGACTCGGCTGAAGGCGGTCGGACAGAGCGAGCCCTACACGGGGGAAATTCCATGTGAGCATCTCACCGGCAGCCATGAATTTGATCATTTATTGAGGACCGAGTCACAGAATCAGTTTGCCGCCCCAGACAGTTTGGCAGAATCCCACACTCCGAGAATCCCATCACTCCAGTCAGAGGTGGGAGGATTTTGAGTTCAAGCCCAGTCTTGGTGATATAAAAAGTTCCAGGCTAGCCTCAAGTGTGCAGTGAAATCCTCCTGCCTGAAAATAAAAACAAAACAAAAGCAAGGCGCCAGAAAACCTAGTTACCAGACTGGTGGCACCAGTGTCTTGGGTAGCTGTGGGACTTTTGGGGTAAGGGATCTAGCCTGCTCAAGCAGGGCCATGGGGTGGGGGCAGTTAGAAGGTAATACTTTCTGACCCAAATTCTCTGCTTTCTGGACCATTGAGATATGAATAATCCAGGCTCCTTGCTGGATGTTTTGGTATACATTTTTAAAAACATTTAATTATTATTTTTTTCATTTTACATTCCAACCCCAGTTCCCGCCTCCCTCCCCTTCTCCCACACCCGATCCACTCCTCAGAGTTACCAAACAAAAAGATGGGCAGGACCAAGTCCCTCCCCCTTGACTCAGGCTGGGCAAGGTATCCAACCATAGGAATGGGCTCCAAAAAGCCAGTTTGTGCACCTTGGATAAGTCCTGGTCCCCACTGCTAGGCCCCCACCTCATACAGATCAAGCCACATAACTCTCGCCCACATTTAGAGGACCTAGTTCAGTCGTAAGTCCAGAGTCTGTGAGTTGCCACTAGCTTGGGTTGGCTGTCTCTGCTTTTGCTTTTTTTTTTTTTTTTTTTTTTTTTTTCCCCATCATGGTCTTGACTTCCCCTTGCTCATATGAGCTCTAGTCCCTCTCTCCAGCTGAACTCCAGGAACTCAGCCCAGTGTTTGGCATCCACTTTTTTTTTTTTTTTTTTTTTTTTTTTTTTTGAGGCAGGGTCTCTCCATGTACTCCTGGCTGGCCTGGAACTCACATCGATGTACCTGCCTTCTGAGTGTGACTAAAGGCAGACATTACCACATTTTGAGTAACCAAGTTGGCAATTCACTCTATCTCTCTCTCTCCCCACTATCCCCTCTCCATCTCACTATTTATTACTTAATAAACTCACTCATCCAAAACAGAAAATATAGCTATCATAGACCATTCTGCAGAGTGACCCAAACAAAAAGATGGGAAACTTTTTCTATAATGGGATCGATCTGTGGGACTCTGACGCACAGTGTGGGTACTGAGGGATGAACTCAATTTGTAATAATCATTACACAGTGTGCATCTTGAGTACAGACTTTGTCAGTTAAGTGATTTTTCAAAATAAATAAATAGGCAAATAAATAAATAAAAGAGAAAGCATTCCACTATCTAAAACACGGTGTCTTAGGTTTTCATTGCTATGAAGAGACACCATGACCACGGCAGCTCTTATGAAGGAAAGCATTTAATTGAGAGGACTTGGCTTACAGTTTCAGAGGTTCAGACCATGATCATCATGAAGCAGGTGGGGGGGGGGGGCGTGTGCAGGCTGGAGTTGAGAATGCTACATCTTGCAGGCAACAGGAAGTCAACTGACTGTCACACTGAAGGAAGCTTGAGCAAAAGAGACTCAAAGCCCAAGGTCACAGTGATGCACTTCCTGAAACAGGGCCACTTATCCTACTGATGCCAGTAACAATATCATCTTGCATTCTCCAAACCCACTTTCCAAACTCCCGAAAACCCTTACAACCTATAAATAAATCACTTTGTTCTCCTGTTGCAAGGCTGCTGGTGAAGTCTTGTTCAGTTTGACAGACTCCATGATCAGCTTGAACACTTGTGATGGTTAATCTTTTTAAAAAATACTTTATTGAACTTTTATTTTGTGTGCATTGGTGTGAAAGTGTCAGATCCCCTGGAACTGGGGTTACAGACAGAGCTGCCATGTGGGTGCTGGGAATTGAACCTGGGTCCTCCAGAAGAGCAGCCAGTGCTCTTAACCACTGAATCATCTCTCTCATCCCTGCGATGGTTAGTTTTAATTGGCAATTTGACACGACCCAGAATCACCTGGGAGGAGAACATTGAGGTAAGGTCTAGATCTTGTTGGTCTGTGTGTAGTGAGATATCCATCCGCCCACACACACTGTAAGACAAATAAATGGATGTTTAATGCGGCTAGTTAGGAGTTCAAGGCCAGCCTGGTGTACACGAGGCCTTGTCTAAAAAGTGGATGTTTTGAGCTTCCAAATTTGTGGTTATTTGCTATGCAGCTATAGACTCCAAACAGGAGCACTGCCTTGAAGTCAATTACGCATCATAACCCTAATAGATTTTAATTCACAGTCATTTGAACTTCATGCACTCATGTTTTGCTCTGAAACCCCAGTGGTAAGTTGCTGCTTCCAGGCTGTCTGGCTCATCGTATATTCATCTATAGATCTACCAACCTTACTGTACATCGGATTTTTCTACCAATTCACTCTTCTGAGACATTCATCTATGGCCACATCATTGAGATCTATTTGGAATCCCTAGCCAGACCCTCATCCCCTGCATCCAGCTCCCACTTCCCAAGTTCCCTCTGAGGTATTGCATCTCGATTGCTTCCTGTGGTCTCCAGCCAAGTCCTATTAGAAAGGACGAAGGATCATGTCCATGAAGGAACTGATCTGACCATTTAAGAAGAGAGTGAGTGCGAGGGGAACTTAGCGAGTGGTCAACAAAGCCAAGCTGGTGTATGTGAAGGAAAATGTCATTGAACCCATCACTTTGTATAAGAGATGTACAATAGTACAAATTTAATTAAAAAGTTGGAGCAAGGCATGGTGGAGATCTATAATCCTAGCACTTGGGAGACAGAGACAAAAGCATCGGAAACTCAAGGCCATCCTTGACTGTAGAGAGCCACCAGTGCCATTCCCGAAGATGGCACCGGTTTCCTGTCCCTAAGCCAGCAAGGCGCGGATGTGCGATCCACGTCATGGGGTGACCGTTACGAGCGTTGCGGGCTGCACCTGTCAGTAACGGACACAGCTCCTCTATATAAGCAGAGCCCTTTTTCCTCCTCGGGGTCTTCCCTCAACTTGCTGTAATGAGCCGCGCAATAAACATAGCTGCAGAAGAATCCTGTTGTTGAGCGTCGTTCTTGCAGGCAAGGCGATAGCGCTCGACACTTGACTACATAGCGAGTTAAAAGACAGCCTGGGCTATCATCATCATCATCAGTATTAAGTATTAAGGGCCTGAGTTTAGATGCTCGGAACCCATGTGAAGTACTGTAGTCCCCGTGCTCCCTCAGTGAGGCGGGAGATGCAGACAGAAAGTTCTCTGAAAGCTCTCAGGCCAGCTAGACTGGAGTACATAGCAACAATACAAAGAAGAGACCCTGCCAAAAACAAGGCAGAGGGTGAAGACCACCATCCAAGGCTGCCCTCTGATCGACATGTACCCTTGCACCCACAAGCACACACATGCACACATATATCATGTGCGCACACAAAATGAGATTTAAAAATCCAAGGACCGGAGGGGGTTGTTCGATGGGTGTTGGCCGTTAAGTGTAACGGCCTGAGTTTGGTCCCCATACCCACACAGTGGAAGGAGAGAAGCAAGTGTCACAACTTGTCCTCTGACCTCTCCACACAGGCTGTGGCATGTATGTGATATGCACACATGATAGATAAGTAAACATAATTTAAAAACATAGGAAGAGAAGATTAGAGGCTGCCCCACTCACCTGTGACCACCAGCTGTAAATGCTGACTCTTTCCTGACCACCTGTGGGAGGCTGCTGTCCTGTAGGCACAGAAATACCCTCCAGCATCTTCAGGCTGCAGGTTAATGAGGTGGAACTCAGCCTCCTTTCCTGCTGATCTTAGCTCTTGCTGGTACCCAGCGTTGTGCAACTTTCCCAGAGAGACTATAACATTCTGGAAATGAGTCCAGCATCGGAGAGTGACGTTACTCTTGCGCTTGACCTCAGAGCTGGGCCAGGCACTGATGGAAGGCCTGGGAAGTTCCTCTGCAAAGAAGTCAGAGTTCATTGAATCTTCTAATGAGGGATATCCTTCTGTATATATGTTTCTCTCTTATTGGTTGACGAACAAAACACTGATTGGCCAGTCGCTAGGGAAGAAGTATAGGCAGGGCTACCAGACTAGGAGAATTCGAGGGGGCAAGGGGAGGCAGAGAGAAGCTGCTAGGAGACACCATGTATCTGCCAAAGGAATAACAGGTCCAGATGGACGTTCTTCAGTAAGCCAAGACTACGTGGAGACACATAGTTTAATGGAAATGGGTTAATTAAGAAAGAACTAGCCAACAAGAAGCCTGAGCCATCAGCCAAATAGCTTATAATTAATCTAAGCTTCTGTGTGTTTACTTGGGACTAAATGGCTTCAGGACTAGGTAGGACAGAAATGCCACGTACACTATTCATCAAGGTTAACCCCTCCTAGAATTGTAAGGATTAAAGGTGTGACAGTTGATCTCAATTACAGCTTGATGGAATCTATAATCACCTGGGAGACAGGCTCTTTGCCCAGGCTTGTGAGAGGTTATCTTGATTAGTTTAATTGAGGTGGAATGATCTATCCACTGCAGGTGGCGCCATTCCCTAGGCTATGGTCCCACATTGAATAAAATAGAGAGGGAGCCCAACAAACTGAGTGTGATCCCTGAGAACCACGGTGAAAAGAGAAAACTGACTCAAGAATTTTCTGATCTCCATACACATATTATGACATGTTCACCTCCCACAAAACCATATACATAAGTAAATGCAATATTCTTTTTTTTTTTTTTTTTAAAGAAAGCATTCTTAAATGTCCTTTCTTCAGATTGGTGAGATGGTTCTTGGCTAAGGGCATTCTTGTCAGGTATCTTACAATTAGCTGTAACTCTGGCTCCAGAGCATCTAACACCTCTGGCTTCCAAAGGCACCTGCATCCATGTCCACAAACATACATACATATACATGATTAAAAATATTTTTAATTGTAGGTCTGGAGAGATGGGCATGAGCATGGTTAAGAGTGTTGGCTGCCTTTGCAGAGGACCCAGGTTGTGTTCCAGCATTCACAGAACACTTCACAATTGTATGTTAACTCCAGTTTCAGGAGATCCAATGCCCTCTTCTGGCTGCTTTTGGTACTGCACACACATGGTACATTCTCATAAAATGAAAACACTCAAATACATAAAACAATATTTTTTAAAAATTAAAATAAAATGTTAATGAGTGTGTATGTGTAAGAGAGAGAGAAGTGTGTGTGTGTGTGTGTTGTGTGTATGTCAGAGGACAACTTTAAAAAAAAAAGATGTATGTATGTATTTATTTATTATGTATACAGCATTCTGCCTGCATGTATGTCATGTATGTCTGTACTGCATGCTAGAAGAGGGCATTGGAATGCATTATAGATGGTTTTGAGCCACCGTGTGGTTGCTGGTAACTGAACTCAGGACTTCTGGAAGAGCAGCCAGTGAGCGCTCTTAATCTCTGAGCCATCTCTCCAGACTCCAGAGGACAAATTTTAGGAGCTGATTCTCCCCTTCTACTACGTGGGTTTCCAGGCTGTCAATCCAGGCAGCAACTGCTTTAACTTTTACTCACTGAGCCATCTCACCTACCCACTCTCTTCTTGAATGTGAGTGTCATGTGACCAGAGGCCTCAAGCTCCTGTTGCTGTGACTTCCGCCCCAGGAGGGGCTGCAACCTCAAACAGTAAGCCAAAACAAACCATTTCCCCCTTAAGTTGCCTCATCAGGATTGATCACAGCAACAGGAAAAGTGGCCGCTGTAGGGAAGAAAGTCCAAGCTGCCTTCCTGGTTTCAGAAAACAATTCCTGAGCTCTACCCAAAGCTCAGGGCTTGAAACCCCACAAATCCCCACCCCGGAAATCATCATGGAAAACGCTACCCCCACCCCAAGAAACCTTACACAAAGCCTTCCTGTAGCCCGGTTATTTGCCCAGCAAAGGCAATCAGATCGCTCTCTAGTGTCTGTCCCAATAAATGTCTCGTGTGAGGTTCGTTGTGTGGTGTGACTCGGTGGCGTTCTTTGGCTCCTGACTGCACGGATACTTTCCCTTCATGGGGGTAGCAGTAGCACCGGGGCACCGTTCCTCTCAGAGCTGTATCACAGCTACTACAAAAGGCGAGGGTCGCGGACTGTGGAACACGGAACACACAGAGGTCATGTGGAAACTCACCCTTCTCTTCCCCGTCTCCATAGCACAGGCACAGCCCTGGAAGAGAAACCTCAGTGAGAGACTGTTCAGCAGCTGTTCCCTCTGACTTGAAATACTACCTCCTGGCGGAGAAGGGAGGTGAGTGAAGCTCACAAGGCTCTGGAAACAAACACCTGCAAGGCTCGTGAAGCTTTCCTAGCTCAGGATATTCACAAGGACACCTTCTGGGGTTATAAAGGCAGTCACCATTGCTGGGCAGAAGAGGCTCTCCAGTCTGCACAGTTTGTAGGAAGTCTGCTTTTTTTTGTGAGTTATGGCTTAAGCTGGGGTGAGCTTTTTCCTGATGTGGCTGACTGTGCAAGCCTGCCCCCTATAGCAATCCAGGTAAAACTGGTTTACCAAGATAGACTTGGGGGGAATTGAGGTAGGAAAGTGCAGGGCTAGCTGAACGACCCAGGATGCCATTTGGCTAGAGCAATACACACACCGCTTTCCTCACAACGCACGTGACACCTACCACATACATGTATCCGGCTCCAAACAATGCATTGTGTTTTTCCTCCCTAAAAGCTGCTCGGTGACTCCTCTTCTGTGAACAAAAACACCCTGAAACTAAGTGAAATGGGTCAATACAGGCTGAAGAGGTTTTTGGGCACATAAGTAGTAAATCAAAATATATCCTTTGAATAAGCGTTCAGGGGAAATCACTCTTTACTATGTTATATCTATGCATGATTAAAATCAGATGCATCATGGGTAAAGACATGTGCAGCAAACCAAGGCTTACATATCTAAGTCTACCAATCAAATCCAAAAGGCCACCTACATCCTGCTCCCAGCAGCCAGTCCCTCCTTCTCCTAACCTGCAAAAGGAAACCCCAGACAGTGACCAGGGGCTCTTGAGCCCTCTAGGTCGGGTAGCCTGCTTTGACCTTGTAGTCTATCTGACCTGAATTTTCTCTTTGAATCCGAATAAAACCCCTTGCTACTTTACCATTTGTGTACGTCTTGAGTTATTTGAACAAAACACCAAAAACAAAAACAAAAAAACCAAAACAAGCAACAACTGGAAATACCTGGCCAAGACTAAGACCACCAGTAACAGAATAACTTCTTTGGTGCGCTGTCAGTGTCCTATTTGGAGTGATATATATTTGTTTGAGTCCTAGTCTGTTCTGGTTTCATTCTGTTGCTGTGATAAAAACACTCTGATCAAAGGCAACTTCCAAAGGAAGTGGTTTATTTAGTTTATACATCCAGGTAACGTTCCATCATCGAGAGAAATATGGACAGGAACTGGAGGGCAGAAACCATGGAGGGACTGCTTGCTGGCTCACTCACCCAGGCTCATATTTAGCTGGCTTCTTTATACAGCCCATGCCCACCTGCCGCTTACAGGTACAGTGCCACTTACAGTGGGCTATGTAGGTGGAGTTTTTGTTGGCACTGCTGGTTCTAAAATAAATACACAGAGACTTAATAATAATTGCAAATGCTTGGCCAATAGCTCAGGCTCGTTACTAGGTAACTCTCGCAACTTTAATTACACATTTGTATTAGTCCACATTCTGCTACATATCATTGATCTTGGACCTCCTGTTTCCTCTGTGTCTGGCTGGTGCCTTTTTTTTTTTTTTTTTTTTTTTTTTTTTTTTTGACTCCACCCTTTTCCTTCCCAGTGTCCTTAGTCTGGTTCTCCTGCCTAACCTTATCTTGTGCAGCTATTGGCCAGTCAGCTTCTTTATCAAATCCAACCACAGTGACATGTATTCACACAGTTTTAAAGGAATATTCCACAGGGCTGGGCCCTCCTGCAAAAATTAATTATTAAGAAATTAAGATGATCCCAATTTGAACTAAGTAATTCCTTAGTGGAGGCTTTCCTGTCAGATAATCCTAGGCCATGTCTAGGCTGTATCAAATTGACAATCAAATCTAACTAGGAGAGAGCTTGAGGGTATGTAGAGGTGGTGGTAGCCATTAGAATTGTCATGACTGGTAAGTGTCATCATCATCATCATTATTATTATTGAGACAGGGTTTCTTTTTATAACAGCTCTGGCTGTCCTAGAACCCAGTTTGTAGACCAGGCTGGCCTCAAACTCACAGAGGTCTGCCTGCTTCTGCCTCTGGAGTGCTGAGATTAAAGGTGTGTGCCATCACTGTCTGTCCATAAATAAGTGTGTTTTTAATTCTTACTTTTAAATTCAAGGCTGGGGACCTAGCTTAGCTGGTAGGGTGTTTGCCTGGCATGCATAGAACAGTGGATTTTACCCCTATCTTCCCATAGAGGGGCATTAATTTGCATTCCTTTAATCTCTGTTCTTGGAGAAGGAGGCAGGAGGATGGAATGAAAGAAAAGATACTAAGGGACCAAGGACTACACATTGTGTCCATCTGTTTCATACCTTCTCCAGAATATGCAAATCCAGACAGACAGAAATCTCATTAGTAGATGCCAGGAGCAGGAGGTGTGGGGAGCTTAATGAGCTAGTTTTTCTGTGGGGGTGATGACATTATCCTGGAACAAGATGGGGTGCTGGTTGCCCAATACTGTGAATATACCAACTGTCCCTGCTCTGTAGACTTCCAAGTAGCTGGTTTTATGTTCTGTGACTTTTACCTCAGTAAATTTTAAAAAAAAAAAAAAAAAAAAAAAAATATATATATATATATATATATCAGTGTGCCTTGGGAATTATTACCCTCTTTCATGGTGCCTTGGGAAGTATTACCCTCTTTCATGGAGTGAAAGACCACAGCAGTGGTCAGCACAGGGTCAAGTCAGTTAAAATTCCAGCATGGCTGCCAGACTGTGGTGGTGCACACAGGAGGCAGAGGCTGGTCTCTGAGTCTGAGGCCAGCCTGTTCTACAGAGTGAGTTCTGGGATAGCCAGGGTCACTCATAGAGACCCTGTTTGGGGGTTAGGGGAGGGAATTACAGCTCTGAGGTTCCACCTTAGTAGCTAATTGCTACTAAGGGAAGGAGAGCCACAGTGTTTTAAGGGTGGAACCACAGGTAGGTTGCCCATTGCCTACTGGTTGACCTCATACTGTTGAGCCCAGACTCTGAAGTCCCAAGCCAACCAAGACACCAGATCCGATGCAAAAGCAAAGAGTCTTTACAATTAATGAGTTAACTGGAGTTAACCCAGGCACTCCATCCATCCGACACAATGGGTGAAGAAGGAGGGATCCCGAGCAGCAGCGGGGCAGGGGACATATTGGGGTAGAGCAAGGGGGGGCGTTGTCTGGGGCTTCACTGGTTGCATAGCAACAGTCTCAGGCTTGATGCACCTCCGGGTTTGGGCAACCTGTTCTGAGTTGATTGGTCAGCCTCAGCTGCAGGAGGGTTGCTGTGCTTAGAGGCCATCCCAGAGTGGTTGTAGCTCGGTATTCCACTATTGCCTCGCTGCTTCTCGGGGGTTCTCTTCTGCTTCACTCACTGTACTGAATGAACGGGGGAACCCAACTTAACTCATAAAATTAAAAACTCGTCGCTTTTACATTGGATCGCGTCTCTCGGTGATTCTGGGGTTCAGAATCTGGGCGCCATCGCACGCCAATAGAGCAAAGGAAAAAAACGGCCCAGTAACACCAAGGCCGGCTCATGCTGCTCCAGAGGCCAGACCCACAGTTACCCTCAATGAAGTTCCTCATGTTGATTCAGTTCATCAGCGTTTGGCTTCATCTTACTTCTGACGGACTCTGGGTTTTGAAATCCATATAAGCATGTGTATTCACATTACTGCTGTGTTTATATGATGTATCGTGTGATGTCTTATTGTTAGAGCTTGTAAGTACCATACATGCCTCGGCATGTGTGTGGAGATCAACCTTCAGGATTTGGTTCTCCTCCATAACTGGAATAACATCCGAGGATTAAAATCAGTGAAGGGCTCTAACAGGGCCAGGCATGGCAAACATGGCGCCCTGCGGGTCCTCTGTCCTTCCCTCTTCTTTCCTTTGTCTCCCTTATTTGGCTGTTTCCTTATTCCTGAGACTGACTGTCAAGGCTAAACCACGAGATTCCCTAGCTAGAATTCCACTGTTTTCCTTAACAGCCTCTCCTGCAGAACTGCTTGCTGCTGTTTCCTTCCGAGAGTCAGCCACCCACCTTGCTTAAATAAAGGATCACTTTGTGTTGGGAATTGGTATTTGGGTGTAGTCTGTGCCTAATCCTGGGTCCAGGAGGAAGCACCCTATGGTAGTGTGTATGCCTTTTATTCCAGTACTCAGGAAGTAGAGGCAGGCGGGTCTCTGTAGGTTCCAGGCCAGCTCTGGCTACTTGAGTGAAACCCTGTGTGGTTCTGAATGAAAATGGCCCTCTCAGGCTCATAGGAAGTGCCATTGGAAAGGATTAGGACATGTGTCCTTGCTGGAGTAAGTATGGCCTTGCTGGAAAAAGTTTCTCTCAAGCCGGGCCCACTCTACCTTCCTGGTGCCTGCCACTCCAGATGTAGAATTCTTGGCTACCTCTCCAGCACTGTGATTGCATGGCACCGTGCTTCCCGTCCTGATGACAATGACCTAACCCTCTGAGCCTGTAAGATGGCCCCAATTGAATGTTTTCCTTGATAAGAGTTGCCCTGGTCAGTGTCGTTTCACAGCAATCGAAACCCTAATATATAATTTACAAAAATGTAAAGCAACAGCAACAACACCCAGTGCCTCCAAACACATTGCCAGCTGCTGCCAGAAGCTACAAGCTACGAGAGAGGCACAGAACAGGATTTCCCTTCCTTCCTTCCTTCCTTCCTTCCTTCCTTCCTTCCTTCCTCCCTCCCTTCCTTCCTTCCTTTCTTCCTTCCTTCCAAAGGAACCAATGTTGCCTACACCTTTGTTGATGTAACACACATAACCAAGAAAATTATTTTCCTTTGTTTTAAACTAACAAGTTGGTGTCACGTGGTTTCAGCAGCCCCAGAAAAGAGTCACAGGGTGTATCAGGACATTTCTTGGAGAAAAAAGGTCACCCTGGCCTGTGGCTGGAGATAGTCTAAAAGGGCACACACGCACAGAGGGAGAAAAAAAAGCATTGACCTGGATAGAAGGCTGTGAGCGGAAAAAGAGGAAGGGGCAGGGCAGATGTGGCCTTCTGATTGCCATCCCCACAAGTCCTGACCCTACTCTTGCTCCGGGGAGGAGCTAGGGGCCTCATAAAGGGGAGCTGCTGCGTACTACAACTAAGCCAACAACCTCATCTTCCTCCTCATGCACCCAGGCTGGCTCCATGGATGTTAAAACTAGCCCAAGGATGGGGATGTTTGGAAAAATCTGCATCTCATCCACAGCTCTACACTTGACCGTTCCTACACCCCGACCCCTTTCTAATCTGGTAGAATAGCCCAGCAAGGTTGCGGGGTCCATTAGGCAATGCAGAAACCCCCATGGAGCTTTCGGGTCTTGCAGTGATCAGGGTCCTTTAGGTGTGGTACCAGTACTGATGTACTTGAGACACCCTCCCCTCACCAGCCTCCCACACCCACACATACACACCCTCATTTCTGCATTGCCATAGTCACCACCTCGACCCTGCTGTGAGTTTTTCTCACCCAGACAAGCACTTGCCACAGCCCTGGAGACTCACCCAGGCAAAGCAGGTATATGAAATCTATGTCCATATTGCCCCTTCTCCTTAAACCAAGATCCAGTGTTCGGCTCTCAGGAAGGAGAAGGCAGGGCAGGAGGTGAGCACTGTTCTCTCCTGGCCCTCTTTGTCCCTGGAACCTGCAGGCTGAAGCTCTGCCCTGACATTTGGCTTGCCGGAATAGTTGTTTGCACAGTTTCCTTCCTGAACAGACACAGGAAGGAAGAAACCTTGGATGGTGACATCTTCTCTGCCACCATGGGTGCAGCTCTGCACACCCTGGGACCTGAAACCTTACTTAAAATGCCTTACATTTTAATTTTCTCATTTCTTTTGGACAATTTCAAGCTTGCACATAGTGCCCTATGGTCATATTCAGCCCCCTTCCTACCTTTACCCTCCTCCCTGCCATCTCTCCTACCTGGTTTCTTTGTTTCTTTCCTTGTTTTTCTGTGTTATAGTTTGATTATCATTCTCCTGTGGTTATTTAGTCTATGTATTCTGTAACTGTACCTTTAAGTTAATTCTTTTATATCCTTCTGGCTAATTTTCCTTAGAAAATTTCATGTATACAGTGTATCTTTGTCAGACAGTCTCAACTCTCCCCATCACATCTCCCTCTTAACTTCATGTCTCCACTTAAAAGCCATTTGTATAACAGCTGGAGAGATGGCTCAGTGGCTAAGAGCGCATGCCTTTCTTCCAGAGTACTTGAGTTCAAGTCCCATTTCCCATGTCAGGGGAACTAACACATCTACCCTCCAGTACCTGCCCACATACATACATACATATAAGTAAAAAGCAAACTTAAAATGTTATTTTTTTATTTTCGGCTAACACACAAAGTGATGCATTTTATAGACATTTTCATGCATATATATCCATGTGCTTTTGATCTTTTTAAACAAATATTTATTAAGCCAGGTGGTGGGAGGGCAGGTCTTTAATCCCAGCATTAGATAGGCAGAGACAGGTGGCTCTCTGTGAGTCTGAGGCCAGCCTGATCTACAGAGCTACACAGAGAAACCCTGTCTTGAAAAATCAAAAAAAAAAAAAAAATATTTATTTTATGTATATGAGTGTTCTATGCCTTTAGGCCAGAAGAGGGCATCGGATTCACTTTGGATAGTTGTGAGCCACTATGTGGTTCCAGGGAATTGAACTCAGGACCTCTAAAAGAGCAAGTGAACTCAGGACCTCTAAAAGAGCAAGCAGCCAGTGCTCTTAACCACTGAGTCATCTCTCTGACCCCATGCCTCTTTTCTTCTTCCTCTCCTTTGTCTCAACCCTCTCCCATCCTCTGCAGTCCTCTTCCCCAGCCAATAGTCCTCCCTTCTGCTTTCATCAGAAACAACCCAACTGAAAATGGACCCAGTCACTTTAAGTGACATATGTCAGGACAACAAGGAAGTGTCCCATTCAGGCTTTCGTACACAGGACCAAGGAAGAAAAACAACAGGAAGGAGGGACAGTTAATGATGTCATCTCTGACAGGAGCGACTCAAGGGTGAAGATTGTTACTATGTTCACAGTTTCGGTCCATCGTGGCTGTGGAGGTTGCAGGAGTAGGAGAATTCACCAGAGGCTTTTCCCTTTACTCAGGGAGCTTGGGACAGAACGAGAAGCAGGCCGTCCTAAGTTTCATTTCCCATAAGGATGTGATAAAACACCCCAACAAAGACCAGGCCTGGTGGCGCACACCTTTAACCCCAGCAAGCCCGAGACGGACGCAGATGAATCTCTGTGAGTTTGAGGCCAACTTAGCCTATATATTGAGTTCCAGCACAGCCAGGGCTACATAGTGAGACCTCAATTCAAAACAAAAGCAAAAACAAACCAGATGCAATTTGAAAGGCTTTATTTGACTCACAGCTCTAGGTTAAAGTCCAGCATTGACAGGACATCAAGGCAGCAGAAACTTAAAGCAGCTAATCACATTGCTTCCATGGCCAAGAGTAGAAAGTAAATGAATTAATGCATGCATGCTGATACCCAGCTCCTTTGCTCTCAGAACATTTGGGTGACCCAAGAAGTGGTGCCACCCAAATTCAGGGTAGGTCTTCCCACAATAATTAAAACCAGTTAAGAAAATTCCCACAGATATAGCCACAGGCCAACTTAATGTAGACAGTGCCTCATTAAGAAACTCCAGGTGATTCTAGATTGTATCAGATTGACGATCAAAACCAACCACCACACAACAATAAACCTTAGGTCTATGGCCCACTTACACAACCATGCTGTTTGTCTCAAAGAGTCCAGGTAGCCAGGCACATGAGCCTGTATGTGTGTGTGGAGGGTGTCCATCTCACATACAAATCATCAAAGATATGAAAGAACAGAGGAAGATTGGGGATGGGAAAGAGTAATAGAGGGGTGAATATGGCCATAGTTCACCACATGCCTATATGGAGCAGCATAATAAACTCTCTTACTAGGAACTGTTACTTGCCATTGATAATTTTAAAGAGAATGGACAGAGTATTCACTAAAACTAACTATATTTGTGGGCTGGAGCAATATCTCAACAGTTAGAACTCACTGCTGTTGGAGAGGACCTTGTTCCATTTTCTAGCACTCACTCGCATGCTGGCTGATAACTGTCTAAACACTTACAAACATGAAAATCAATAACTCTTTTTAAAAGGACATAAACATACACATGAGAGACACAAAATAAACATAGTGTATATAGAGGTGAATGTATAATTTACATATTCTAGATAAGCAACAGTGTCAGCAAAGATGCTCAGCATGTATGCTCTTATTTTGTTTTGTCTTATTTTTCAAGACAGGGTGTTGTGAGTAGTTTTTCTAGCAGCCTGGAGCCACTGCTGTGCCAGCCCCAATTAACACATTGAGACTCTGTATTTGATATAATGCTGTCGGCCAGTTATTTGTTTCTTATCCGTTAGCTCTGTCTTAATTATTAACCCATTTCTTTTAATCTAAGTATTTCCACGTGGTCTCATCCTACTGGAGTGTGGGCCCGGACCTCTGTTCTCCAGTTTCTACATGCTGACTCCTCCCTACTACTTCCTTGAATCCTCCTTGTCTCCTAGTCCTGCCTATCTTGCTTTCCCATTGGCCAACAGTGCTTTATTCATTAACCAGTATGAGAAACATATTTACAGAATGACATCTCCCATCAACAGGGTTTCTCTGTGCAGCCCTGGCTGTCCTGGAGTTCACTCTGTTTACCAGGTTGACCTCGAACCCAGAGATCTGTCTGCCTTTGCCTCCAAGTGCTGGGATTAAAGCATGTGTCACCAAGACCTGGCATAATGTATGTTCTTAAGAAAATGCAAACTTGGGCTGATGATGGTGACATATGCCCTTAATCCCAGAACTGAGAGGAAGAGGCAGATGGATGTCTGTGAGTTCAAGGACAGCCTGGTCTACATAGCAAGTTCTAGGACAGCCAGGACTACATAGTAGAGAGACTCTGTCAAAAAAAAAAAAAAAAAAAACAGAAGGAAAAAAATTATTACACAGAAAGGAAGGAAATACACAGACACACACACACATATATGTACTGTGTCAGATAAGCATCTATATGTTTCAGAATATTCCTTTAAATTGTATGAAAATGCGTCACTCTTTAATAAAGAGCTGAATGTTCAATAGCTAAGCAGGAAGATGTTAGATGGGACTTCTGGAGATAGAGATGTGTAAGGAGTACGGTTTTTCTGCCCGCCGCCTGGTCTTGTCCTGCCGCCACACCGCCAGCCCCAAATAATGCACAGAGACTCTGTATTTGATACAATGCTATTGGCCAGGTGCTAGTTTCTAATTGGCTAGCTCTGTCTTAATTATTAACCCATTTCTATGTATTTCCACGTGGTCTTACCGAGAGCGGAGGAATGGCGGTTCTGTTCTCTCCAGGCTCTCCATCCTGACTCCTCCTTCCTACTTCCTCTTTCCTCCTTGTCTCCTAGTCCCTCCTATCTTCCTTTCCTATTGGCCAACAGTGCTTTATTCATTAACCAGTATGAGAAACATATACAGAATGACATCTCCCATCAGAGATGTCTCAGGGAAGAAGAGCAGAGTCACCAGCCAGATGTGGAGAAAGCAGGATGGGCAGAACAGAGTAAAAGTAACCCAGACAAAGTAAAAGAACAGATTTAAAAAAAAAAAATGTGGGTTAATTTAAGCTATAAGAACTAGTTAGGAACAAGCCCAAGCTATCGTCAAGCTTTCATAATAAGAAGTCTCTGTGTATTTATCTGGGAGTTGGCACGTGGGACGGAGAAAGATTTGGTACATCTGTGCCAAGGCCTGGCATCCGTTCTATGTGCAGAGTCGAAATGAGACAGCTATCGCCCATGCCAAAGAGCTGATTTCACGGCCACACAGAAATTCACAGGGATAATTTGGTCCAATTTCACCAAGGATTCATTGGTCCCCTGGGGCATTGTAGGGCCTGTGAGTAAAGAAGGACAGAGCTGAATTGAGGGGAAGACAATCTCTAAATTAGGGGGATTCCCCGCCTCCCATTTCCCACCCTTCCCATCTGGAGGTGTATGATAGGTCCTTCCTAAATGCTTTGTTTGCGGGGAGGGTGTTGAGATAGGCTCTCATGGTCGAGCTGTCCTCAAACTTGCTATGTAGCCAAGGGTGACTTTGAACTTCTGAACCTCCGGCATCCCAAATTCTGGGATTATGGATGCTCACTGCTAAACCCTGTTCATACAGTGCTGAGGGTCAAGTGCTGGAAGTCATGACTGACATCCATAACTCCAGTTCCCGGGCGTCCATGGTCCTCTTCTCAACTCCTTGGGTACTCCGTGCACACAATGCCCAGACAAAAATGTAGGCAAAACACCTACACACATAAAATAACTTTTAAAGAGTAAATGATGGCAAACATTCCACCAACTGCGCTACACCCACAGACCACTTTTTTATTGTTGTTGTTGTCATCTGATATTTAATATCCTATTTTTATGTGTATGAGTTTTTGCCTGCATGTATACAATGAGTGTTATTTGTGTGCCTGGTGCCTCCAGAGTCAGAAGAGGGTACTGGATACCCTGGAACTTGAGTTACAGGCAGTTATTGCCTCTGTGTGGGTGCTGGGAACAAAACCCTGTCCTGTGTAAGAGCTACAAGTGTTCTTAACCACAGAACCATCCCTCCAGCCCCTACTTCTTATCCCTACCCTGCGGTGAAAAGAATTTTCCTGTGTGCCTAGAATTTTCCTTTGTGCCTATGTGGAGAAACTTGAGACACCACTGAGTGGGAGCTGGCTTTTAGAACCATAAGTAACATGGCCAGAATTGAACAATTAAAATTTGCCACAAAGTAGCCCTGAATTGGTGGGTAGGTTTGATAGCTGCTTGGTGGAGGCCATTTCATGGCTGGTGAAGTTTCTCACTCAGTACGCAATTGATAACTTACTTTTTTCCCCCTAGGGTGACTGTAGTATAATTGACACATGGAAATAAAATATGTTGGGGCTGAAGAGACAACCTAGTGGTTCAAAGTTCTGAGTGCTCTTGCAGAGGATCTTGGTTCCATTCTCAGCACCCATACAGGAGCTGAAAATCATCTGTGCTCTGGAACTTTGGTTCAGAGGAGACAAACACCTCTTCTGGCCTCTGCCAGCATCAGGCATGCACATGGTACTGGCACACGGACACACATTCATGCAAAACACACATGCACAATGATTTTTTAAAATTAAATATGTCAAGATCTTGCTTTGTACACAGTAAGTACAGCTCAACTTGTGACTGTCAATTATACCTCTGTCAACCTGGGATGAAGAAAACCCTCATGATTACCCAAGAGCCCATTAAAAAGGGGGGGGTTCAGTTATTTTACCAGGGTTTATTTGGAGACAGCCTCTGGCTATGCCAGACTTCAACCAGGAAGCCTCCCATTATTAGCACAATTACAACAGCCACTCCAATCCGGATGAGGTTACCCATGGTGTAGCCTTTTGCCACATCATCTGGAGGTGCATAGTCTTCTGTCGTGGCATCTGGTGGGTTTGAAAGGGAGAAGACGATCATCACTGGCCACAGAAGGCATCCCTTCTTCACAGACAGATGGAATGAATCTGACTCCAATATGTCCCCTTGTGTCATGGACTCTGTTCTCTAAAGGTTTAACTTTAGATGGGTTTTTAAATTTAAGTGGAGATGGGTTTTCCTTTACCTTCTTTTCTTCGTGTTCACTTGGCCTCAGCTCTTTTCCTTTGCTCGGCTTTATCTTACTTCTACCTCTGCTCACTTCCATTTCTTTATCTCCCTCGATGTATTAGGGGTTAATCTTAGATGCAATGCACAGAACAAAGAAGATAGAGCTACACACAGATATACAAAACACAGAAATCAGTCAGCATGCCGCCATGGACCATAAAATGCCATCTGGGCAGCGAGCTTCAGAAAATTTGAACCCAACAGAGGAAAAACTAGTTCATTCTGTATCTTTGATGAAAGTTTCCGCTCCACCAGCCTGGTCCTACAACTGCTTCAGCCCCAAATAAACACATAGACGCCGACTCTGGTGGCTCCCCTGCCTACCTATCCCAGAATGCGCCTCCTGTCCTAGCCCCGCCTACCTTCCTGCCTCATTGGCTGCTGGCCAAACTGTTTAATTCATCAACCAATAAGAGAAGCATACATACAGAAGGACGTTCCCCCATCATATATCTGCAAGAGGAGTGGTTGAATGGTGAGAAGTAAGGGAAATGGTTAAGCCAGTGAAGTACCTGAACCCCAGAACCCACATAAAGCTGCATGCAGCAGTGTGCATCTAAAACCCACATGCATTGTAGTGAGACAGAAGGAGAAACCTCAGGAACTTGAGGGCCAACTATTCTGGCATCTGCTGCAGTGTACTGCGAAGGACCCTGCCTCACACAGGGCAAAAGGCAAGGAAGATAGTAGCCAATGCTGCCTTCTGACCTCCACACATGCACTTTGGCATGGTGAGTGCCTGTACTTAAACACTTGGACACATACAAACACAGATACACACAGCAAAAGCAGAAGGAGGAGGATGAAGAGAGAGAAGAGGAGCTGATGTGATGTTTGGCATTGATCTGTCCTTAAAGTCACTACACAAGGGTCAGCTCATCCCAAAGACTGCAGCTTGGTAACTAAACACATCAACGTCAACGTCAAGGTTACCTGCCAGCAAGACACACACAGAAAGGCAGGTAACATCACCACCACATAAGAACATCACCCGTCACCTGTCATTTCTGACTACACAGACCTTCATACCTAATAGTGATCACACTCTGCTAAAAACCTCAAAGGCAAAAAAAGGAGAACTCTCAACCAAGGTGTGCAGCATTTACTGGGGCAACATTCTGGCAGGAAACTTTGGATAGTCGTGGAGACACCAAACAGTAACGGAATGACATCAGGGAGAAAACCCACTTATACTTGTTTAACTATATCTACAGGGATAAGTTTAGGAGGTAAAAGACCTCCACAGAGGAAAAATTCAACACACTGAAGGAAGAAACAGAACACACTGGAACATAGAAAGACTCCCCCCACCCCCATGCTCATGGACGGTCAGAATTAATATTGTAAAAAAAAAGGGGGGGCATATTGCCAAAAGCAATCCACAGATCTGGCACAATTTTAATCAAAACCCCAATGACATTCTTCACTGTACTAGAAGAAGCAATGCTAAAATTTATATGGAAGCACACATGGCATCAAATAGCAAAATGATCCTTAGCAGAAAAGTAATGTTGAGAGCACGATGATACTCTGTCTTAAGTTATATTGCACAGTCATAGCAAAACAACAAAGCCACAGCAAGCAGAGTGACACCAGCATAAACACAAACATATGCCAGTCAAACAGAATAGATGACCTAGAAATCTTCCGACAAAGCGGTCAGAAACATCACAGCCAGGCATGGTGGTGCACACATTTAATCCCAGTGCTCTGGGTGGGGGGAAAGGTGGGCAGGTATCTGTGGGTTCTAGGCCAGACAGGGAGACCTTGTCTCAAAACAAAGAAACAGATTATAGAAAAGACATCCTCTTCATCAAATGATACTGGAACATCGGTGTCAACTTGTTAAACATTGAAAGTGGATCCATATACCTCAGTGTACACACACACACACACACACACACACACACACACACACAATTTTACATAGATCGAAGACCTTAAACTTTGACACTGCTAGAAGGAAAACACTTGAAGATATTGACACAGGCAAAGGTTTGTTGGAAAACTCCTTGACAGCACAGGAAGTGATAATGATCCAAGGAACTAATGAATGGGATTACATGAAATTGAAAGGCTTCTGTATGACAAAGAAAACACTTGACAATGTGAGGAGATGTCATTATAGAACGGGGAAATATCTTGTGCATCAGAGGGTTATTACATAGAATGTCTAAAGAACTCTGAAAATTAAGCAACAAAAAGCACCCAAACCATATATGAGCTAAGGAACTGAATAGGTAGTTCTCAGAACCAGAAGAAACACAAATAGTTGAAAATGATATTCAATAGTCTCAGCTATTGGGGAAATGCTAATTAAATCTCCGATGAAATTTTATCCTAATATAATACAAATGTCTGAACAACAGATGCTGGAGCTGATGTTGGGGGAGAGAGGCATCCTTAGCACTGCTCGTGGGAGTGTAAACCTGTGCATCCTCTATGGAAATCAGTATGGTGGGTTCTCCAAAAACAGAAAATAAGACTACCAGATAAGCCAGCTATGTCATTCCTTGGTCCACACCTGAAGGACTCTAAGTTAACACACCACAGAGATGCCTTCTCGTCCATATTTATCGGAGCTTTACTCGCAATGACCAGGAATCTAAACCAGTCTAGATGTCCATCAGTGGGAGAGGGGAGCAAATGTGATATGTGTACAGAGTTTTATACAGACTTGAAGAAAAATAAGATCGTGGTGCCTGCTGGAGATTGTTGTTAAGTAATATGAATTAGATTCAGAAGGATAAACATTGTGCTTTCCTTCAAATATAGAAACTAGGTTAAGGTGAGTGTGAATATGTGTGTTTTTTATATATATGGGGGGGTCTCTAAACTATACGGGGATCATGAGAAGTGGGAATGAGAATTAAGGGAGTGGATAATGGGATGCGTGGAACAACAGAGCAGGCGTTGAGACTAATGGGGAGAAGAGAAGAAATCAGGGCGAAGAAGGGCAGCGAGGGGTAAAATGAGAATAAATGTCCTTATTACTTGTATGCAGTCGGCCTGATTAAAGTCGCTACTTTGTGTACTAACTGTATTAGTGGTCAACTACCAGGCTAAAGCAGCCAAAGGGTTTATTTTGGCTCCCTGTGTCAGGTTGCTGTCGACCATGGTGGGGAGGGCAGCAAGAGTGACTATGACGTAATCCAAGGCAGGAAGCAGAGAGTTAAATACGTGTGCTCAGTGCACTTTAGTCTTTATTAGGCTGGGATCCCAGCCCATTGCTGGCACTACCTATATTTAGGATGAGCCGTCCTACCTCGGTAGATAACCCCTCATGGACAAGCCCAGGGATTTGTTTTCCTGATGATTCTATGTAACGAATACGGTTTTTCGCCTGCCGCAGCCCGGTCTTGTCCTGCTGCCACGCCACCAGCCCCAAATAACACACAGAGACTCTGTATTTGATACAATACTGTTGGCCCGGTTACTTGTTACTTATCGGCTAGCTCTGCCTTTAATTATTAACCCATTTCTATGTATCTTCACATGGCCTTCTCTTACCGGGGAGGCGGCTGGCGTCCAGCTCTCTCCAGACTCTCCATCTTGACTCCTCCTTACTACTTCCTATTTCCTCCTTGTCTCCTAGTCCCTCCTATCTTCCTTTCCTATTGGCCAACAGTGCTTTATTATTAACCAGTATGAGAAACATATATACATAATGGCATCTCCCATCATCTCCTCTTTTCTGTTTAAATAAAAAGAAGGGTTTTAACCTTAACATAGCAAAATATATTATACAACAGTTATCAAGTAAGAATCACAGTTAACAATATTTAGTCCATTAACATTTATCAAGATTTAAGAAACTGTTCCATCATCTATTCCATCTTTGTGAGTCTAAAGTTCTATATGTAACTTATCTTTAATACTAAGGAAAACTGTAACCATAACTCGCTGTCTTCAAGTCCCTCAAAGACCACAGAAGGATAGTATAAACTCTAGAAATGACAGAGACAACTCACTGCCTGGTCACCCAAAGTTCTTTTGTAATCTTCCATCTTCAGCCCATAGGCCATAGTGTGTCTGGCAGACTCTTCAGCAATGCAGGAAACTTTAAACTGTCTTCTTGTATTGGCAGTTTATCAGTCACTTTTCTCTGTGTCCTGCATACTGTCTCGCAGACTCTTCCATGAAGCAGGAACTCTGTAGCAATGTCCATCGTGAATCAGCAGTCACTTTTCTGTGGGCCCTGCATGTCCAGTTTATATAGCACAAAGTCAAACAGTCCAGACAAGAGCAGTATTTTGTCCAAATGGCTAGTCTTGCCATATTGGAAGTAAACTCCATAACGTGTTTCTTTAATGTCCATCTTCTTTTCTGACCCAGGTGGCGTTGCCAGGAGCAATTATGTCTCACTGTCAAGAAAAACCCTAAAACATTTTAAATGCCATATTCTGTAGGTCTTTGAAAGGTTTGAAGAATGCCTATCTATCTCAAATACATCTCTGTGTATTTTGAAAAACCTAACTAATCTCTAAGCTTTGACTATCATAGGTAATTATCTATAATCGGTACTATATTGTACATTACATTTCTAACTGAGCTCAATAAACACGATACCTAAACAAGAGGAGAAATATACATATCACAAAATTGACATTAAATTGTATCAATAAATGAAAATCCATTCCAAAACAAACTATGCATATCTATACCATAATTCCCTTTTTACCTTTAAAAAGAATTGGCTGTGATCATTACCCATTTATAACCAAGTCCATTTAAATGAAAACAAACATTTATAAACAATATTTGGGAATTTGGGCGTCGTTCTTTCCAAACTACTTCCTGCTGACAGGGGGCGCTGTCATGGGGGAATCCTGAGAAGATGGCAGTAGTCTGCATGGCTGCCTTGTTCAAGCTGTTTTGAATGTTGGATCATCAGGAACTCTGTTTCAGGGGGCCTGGCTTGATCAAACCACATTAGTCTGGAAGAAATCCACAGCTTTTTATTTTCTGTGGAAACAAAAATAGAAATACTTTTCCCAAGTAACTTGTCCTTTGACTTAAATTTTTGAGTCAAAACATTTTTAAAATATATAAATTGAATTAATCCAGCAGCATTTCCTTTATCAGTTGTTATTTTCTCAGCAGTCAAACAATGTAGAGACAACACAATAGCATACAGTAACCAGATTCTCTCTGAGCTTTTCATCTTTACGTGCCTTTATTATTACTCTGCTTATTTTAATTTTATTTTATTTTTTTTTTTTTTTTTTGGCATAGGGTTTCACTGTGTAACTCTTATCTATCCTGGAATTTACTCTGCATACCAGGTTTACTTTGCAAATCACAGAGATCTGCTTGCCTCTGTCTCTCGAGTGCTGGGATTAAAGGCGTGTGCCACCACACCCAGCTCCCCTGTCTTTTTAAAACCATTTTTTTTTCTTCTCCCAAGCCTACATATATTTTAAAACACACTGTAAACCTTTAGAGGTTTTTCTTAATATGAATCTGTCTTTACTGTAAATCTTTATCTTCGTCTGGCCATGAGTCTTTATCTGTTAAACAACATTGTTAAAATGAAAGTCTTTGTTGTTTCTGCCGCGGTTTATAAAAGTTGGAGGCGGCTATTTTACCGCCAGCACTGAGAGCTGCGCTCACTGCCTTTGTCTGTGCTGCCGTCTAGCAAGCATGCTGCCAGCTTGGAGATGTGGTCACTGCCATTGCCAACTCTGATACACACCAATAAATTGTTAGCTGTGCTTTTTAAAAGCCTTGAGGTTTTTTTTCCCTATGCTGAGTCAGGAACCTTCCCTTAAAGGAGCCGCACAAATATCTGCTTGTCTCTTGCAAAGCAGAGTCCAACAGAGAAAAATGCTGATACCAAGAAACCTTACTTGTCTCTGTTCTTTTGTTTCTAAAATCCTTTTTTTAAGCTTTTGTTAAATTTTAAGTATAAGTTCTTAGCCACGTTGGGCGCCATTTGTAAGGAGTACGGTTTTTTCCTCCCGCTGCCTGGTCTTGTCCTGCTGCCACGCCACCAGCCCCAAATAACACACAGAGACTCTGTATTTGATACAATACTGTTGGCCCGGTTACTTGTTACTTATCGGCTAGCTCTGCCTTTAATTATTAACCCATTTCTATGTATCTTCACATGGCCTTCTCTTACCGGGGAGGCGGCTGGCGTCCAGCTCTCTCCAGACTCTCCATCTTGACTCCTCCTTACTACTTCCTATTTCCTCCTTGTCTCCTAGTCCCTCCTATCTTCCTTTCCTATTGGCCAACAGTGCTTTATTATTAACCAGTATGAGAAACATATATACATAATGGCATCTCCCATCAATTCTATATCCCATTAAGATTAACTTTATATTAACACAAAAGACTAATTACAATAGCGTGCAGCCAGAGTAGAAGTGCACCCCTCCAGTCCAAGCCTTAGGAGGCAAAGGCAGGTCTCTGTGAATTTGAGGCTATCTTGGTCCACATAGTGAGTCCTGGTCTCAAAAACAGTATTATTCATGATAATAAGAATAGGGCAGGGAAGGAGAAGGGACCAAAACATTAACATTGCACAGGGAAATAAAACAAACACGCCTGCAAACTACTATGCAGAATCACACAAACCCTTACCTGTCACAGCCATCTCAAGGGGGTTGCTGAGGGCTGAGGCCCGGTAGGGAGGACTTGCCTGGTAGTACACACAGCTATATTTCCCCGAGTCTCTGGCTGTCACGTTCAGAAGAAAGAAGTCCAGCTCCATTCCTGCTAATCTGCTCATTTGCAGAGGAGATGAGTGTCCCTCCTTCAGCAAAGCAAACCTTACTGGTCCGAGCACACTGTCTGTCCTCAGGCACTGCAATGTCACATTGCTTCCTGAAGTCAATGTGCCCCACTGGTAGGCTTGGAGGGAAGGTTTAGGCAAGTACCCTAGACAAGAAAGAGCGCCTGAACTCAAGGGAAGAAGTTGTAGGCCCCCGGCACATTCCTATTCTTTGTTGGTGGCATTCTTCCTCGGGGACCATCACCATCCTCACAACCTCAGGTCTCTGAGATAGACAAGTACTGCCTCTTAAGAAATAAGCAGAATGTTCAGCAGAGCATTCTGAGATACAGGCTGCGGTTTTACAGCCAGTTAAAGAATAGCTAACCAGCTCAGGGCTATCTCTTCCGCTACAGTTTTACAGCCAGTTAAAGATTAATTCAGGACATTCCTTCTACTGACCTCTTCACCCTGCCTACATGCAACTGCCCTGCCTACGGCCCTATATAAGCCTCCCCCGAGAAGATAAAATTTGTCAGCTTCATCAGAGTACTGTCTTGCCATCCATTCTTTGTATCCCTTGTATCCCCGGTTCCTCGTTGACTGCCCCACTGGTTGGGGCAATTCTTATTATTATTTATTTTGTTTGTTTTGTTTTCCCAGACAGGATTTTCTCTGTGTAGCCCTTGTCCTGGAACTAGCTCTGTAGTTCAGGCTGTCCTTGAACTCACAAAGATCCACTTGTCTCTGCCTCCCCGAGTGCTGGGGATAAAAGGCATGTGCTACCACTGCCTGGAGAAGTATTTTCTTTTTCAGTCTTATTCTTTGGGAGCTATGTCATGAGCCACATACCTCTCACTGTGTTCTGTGACTCTAGGACAGAGATTTTTCCCCTCCAACAAATCATGGGTGGAGCCCCCTTCCTATTCCTGTATCCCTTGCTCTCTCTGGAGATCCCACCCCCTTTCATCCTCCCTTCATCCAGTCCTTTTGTCAACCCCTGTCTGACGATCCCATATATCTCTCTGAGACAGACCCTTCCTCACCTGTGACCAGTAGGAGAAGTGGGTCACTGGGCTGTATCCTTGTGACATTGGGCCCTTGGCTGTAGGATTCACAGGTGTAGTACCCTCCATAACTCTGCTGTATCTTGGTGATGTTAAACTCAGCCTCTGTCAAATAATATGACTTCTTGACATCGAAAACAAAGCCTTCCTTTTTGAGGATGAAGAATTCACTTGGGGCAGGGCTCTTACACCGCATTGTCACACTGCTCTTGCTAGGAAGCAGTGAGCTGGGCCAGGCGCTGAGGCTGTGCTTGAGAGGGGACCCTGGAAGCAAACAGAGACCAGGGCTGCATCTGACATACTTACCTGCTTCCAGAGCCCCTCCCCCTTCTTTTCTGTAGAGAGGAAGAAAGCACCGTGGAGAGGTAGGTCAGTTAGTAAAGTGACTGTTATGCAAGCTTGAGTACCTGAGTTGGACTCCTGGAGTCTGCACAGAAACCAGAATGTGGTAGTGTATGCTTGCAATCCCATGGCTGGGGAAGGGGAGATAGCTGGACCCATGGGGCTTCCTGGTCATCTGGTCTACCCTTATTGGCATGCCCCAGGTCAAATGAAAGAACTTGCCTCAAAAAAAAGAAAAGAAAAGAAAAGAAAATGAAAGAAAGGAAGGAAGGGAGAGAGAGAGAAAGGGGAAAAGATTTCCAAAAATCCCTATAATAAAATGGAAAAAAATGTACGTATGGAGGTCTCCTGGGAAATTACACCTGCTGGTGACAATGTCAGCAGAGCAGGTGGCAACTGAAGTTCTCGAGGGCCACCAGGAGGCAAATCCATGATGGGTGAATCTGGGATAGGCAGGACCCCAAGGCCACAGGCCCCAGAATGTCTTTTGCTTCCGCTGTGCCTTCCACATGTTTGCTGCTGCCATCATTCTCTGGTATCTGGCATGGCGTGAATGGGTGTGCGGAGATCCTCACTGCCTGTGATGTAGAGTGTTTATCTCATGGAAGCATCTCGTTCTATTGGGCATTGTTGCCTGCGGGTTATTATGAATGTGAGTTCTTTCCAAGTTGTACTGTCTAGTTGATAATGGTAATGTTGTCTAAGTAGAATATTGATGATTAAAAATAAATTACAGGGAATGTCACACAGCTGGGGCCCATGAATCTCACCTAAAGAGCTGCATAGATCACAGTTCAGGTTAATGATTAAGGAAAGCAGCTGAGTCCCAGAATCCAGGCTGGCTTGACTTATCTTAATCTTAATGCTAAAAGATACCCTCACAGGTTTCGGGGTGCATCATAGCTGAAACAAAGCCTTAAAACAACTTCAATATAGATTACATGCTTGGATAATAGCTTTGAGATGAAAAACCCTATGAAGCAACCTAAACTTCACAAGGACACATAGCTGAATTATAGATTCATTAGGTTAGTGACAAAAATACAAAGCAGCCCAATTGTTGTTAAAGGCTGTACTTTCCTGCTAGGGTTGATTGGTGATCAAAGGTGATGACTAATTCCTTGTACCTATTTTTGCCTTCAATTTCCTGATATAAGAAACTATTAATGAGTGGGTATGCACCCTAAAGACTTAAAGAAGTTTGGTTCAGTGTAAACTCCTGGAATCCAGATGCAGAGGGGTAGGATAAGACCAGGCTACAGAAACCCACAGAGTCAGCTGACCTGAATAAGGGGGAAGTTCATGGACCCCCAGACTGATAGCTGGGAAACCAGCATAGGACCAACTCAGACCCTTGAACATGGGTTTCAGTTAGAAGGCCTGAGCAATCTAAGGGACCTCTGACAGTGGAACCAGGATGTATCCCTGGTTCACAAAAGGACTTTGGGAGCACATTCCCCATGGAGGGATACTCCCTTAACCTAGAGGCAGGAGGGAGGGCCTAGACCCTACCCAAAATGACTTGACAGATTTTGATGATCCCTCCTGGAAGGCCTCACCCTCCTTGTGGAGTGGGGGAATGGGATGGGAGGGGGTGGGGGGCATGTCAGGGAGGGAGGGAGAGGGAACTGGGATCGATATGTAATATGTATGTATGTATAAGATTTAAAGCTATGTAATATGTGTGTGTGTGTGTGTGTGTGTGTGTGTGTAAGATTTGAAGAAGAGCTGACTGGTTGTTATTTATGTATAAAAGTTTAGGTTTGTGATTCCTTAAAGATTTCTTATAAGATTACCTTTCAAGATAAATAATAAAGTATTTGATTCCTTCTTTGTAATCCCAATATGCAGCCTGCCAGTAGAAGATGGCTGAGAAAAATATCCCCTGCTTGCTCACACTCTGTTAATCTGTAACAAGTTATTTAGATCAAATCTATGTGGGTTCATGGGATGACGTTGTTTTAATCAGGTAAGAGATTAAAATAAAATGGCAGGTGGTTGTGGCACACACCTTTGATCTCAGCATTCTGAAGGCAGAGGCAGGCAGATCTCTGTGAGTTTGAAGCCATCCTGGTGAATTGAGTGAGTTCCAGGCTAGCCAGGACTGTTTCACAGAGAAAGCTTGTCCAAAGAGAGAGAGAGAGAGAAAGAGAGAGAGAGAGAGAGAGAGAGAGAGAGAGAGAGGAAAAACATGTTTTTACCTGTATTCATTTGAATCATTCACTTGAAAAACAGAATGTAACCACATTGTAACACCTACCTTGCCTGAAAAACTTTGTTGGGGGCAGGCATATAAGCTGCCAAAAAGAGAATACAGTGATAGAATAAAGAAGGAATCCATCAAGAGAGCCAGTGAGTGTTTTTTCTCTTACCCCCTCAGATAAAAGAGACACAGTATACCAAATCCCCAGATGTCCCTTTGAGCTGGGTGCTACTGGAGGCTAGTGCCTCGGGCGTCGGGAAACACAACAGTTGTTGGCCTCTGACTTCTACATGAATGCACGCACATGTGTGTACATGTGCGCATGGACACACACACACACACACACACACACACACACACACACACACATACACGAGATATAAAAGGGGAGGAGAAACGGGTATTTGAAAGTTTGTCTGGAGACCCACTTACCATTGTCAGAAATGTCTGTTTGTCCAACACAGAGCCCTGAAATAAAAAGAACACACATGAGTCACCTAGTCACCCTCTCTGGTCCAGAGGGACACTGCCATCTTGTCACTTCGTGTCTCCTTCTCATCTGGGCTGCCACTTCAGCTTGTATCTGAGGTTGGCCATCACCATCTTGTTGATCTTACTCCAAGGGCCCCACCTCAGCTCTACAAACTCCCACAAACCCTTCCAATTCTCACCCCTACCCCTGAGCTTCCTACAGTCACCGTCTCCGTTGGAGTGTGGGTCACATTGCTCGGGTCATCACCTCTCCTCCAGGGAAGGGGTAACAGCATTGTAGGACACTGGGGAGATAAGAAGTGAGCCTACTCCTAATGGTATCGAGGACCAGCTGGGTGTGGTGGTGCAGGCCTTTAATCACAACACTCAGGAGTCAGAGGCAGAAGGACCTCAGTGAGTTTGAGGACAGCCTGTTCTACATAGTGAGTTTCAGGACAGCCAGGACTACATAGAGAGAGAAAAGTCCTTGTAGAGGATGGCTTGGGAGATGGTTCTGTCAGTGTGATGCCCAACACCCACGTGAAAAAGATTACTGTGGCGGTGTAATGCTCGCCATCCCAGTGCTGGGGAGGTGGGGACAGGAGGGCCCCTTAAGCTCAGCGGCCAGCCATCTAGCCCAACCTCAGACCAAAACGAGAACTTGTCTCGAAAAACAAGATGAATAGTATGTGAAGAGCGGCAGAGCGGCACCAGAGATTGACGTCTCCTCTCCCCACACAGATGCACCCATGTGAATACACACACACACACACACACACACACACACACACACACACCACCTTAAAGGAAAAAGGAAGCTATCATGAATTGGGGAAAGACATTTTGAGCCCAGTGCAAGACGCTGTGGGCCCTGTGCTCATGACTGTTTTGTTTTTGTTTTTCTCTTTTGGTGCTTGGAGGCAGGGTTTCTGCGTGTAGCCCTGACTGACCTGGAATTCACTCTGTAGATCAGACAGATATCCACTTGTCTCCTGCTCTCAGTACTGGGATTAAAAATGTCCCACTAAACCTGGTTTACTGTTTTATTGTTTTACTGGTTATTGTTATTGTTATTATTATTATTATTATTATTATTATTATTATTATTTGACTAGGGTCTCATATAACCCAGGCAGTCTCAAATCCACTATATAAGTGGATGGCTTTGAACTTCCTCTTTTAAAAATAATTTGTTTATTTTTACTTTATATGCATTGGTGTTTTGCCTGCACCTATGTCTATATTAAGGTATCAGATACCCAGGAGCTACAGACAGCTGTGGGCTGACAGGTAGGTGCTGGGAATCAAACCTGGGTCCTCTGGAAAAGCACAGTGCTCTTAACTGCTGAGCTTTAAACTTCCAAAGCTCCTGCTTGCCACCACAACCTGGTCAGGAGTTAATACCATTCATCACCTATTGTAGTTATTATTATATCGGAAAGAGCTAGGCAAGTTTCCACAATCTGTAATCTCATCATTTGCGATTCTAGAGAGGAAGATCTTTGTGAGTTCAAGGCCAGCCTAGCATAGGTTCAGAGTTCCGTCTGGGTAACCCAAGGTTGCATAGTAAAAGCCTGACTCAAAACAATTTAAATGTAATGAACAAGAAGTTCTTCCTGAGGTTGGCCTCTGTTGTGTCTCAGTCATAACAAGTTCTCACCACAGAAAAGAAATGGCTGCTATGACCCAGGCTTGGCTAGCAACAGCATATAGGATTTGCCAGTTTTCATTTGTTTACATTATATCTGTATTGTATTTACTCTCTGCTCTCTCTCTCTCTCTCTCTCTCTCTCTCTCTGTGTGTGTGTGTAGGGGTCTCAAGCAGTTCAGGCTGACCTTGAATGCCCCACTTATCTGAGATTTAATTTGTGATATGCCTGTTTCCACCTTCCATGCACTGGCATGATAGATTTGTGTCACCGCAACTGGTTTATAGCATTGAGGATGGAATGTAGGGCTTCGTGCTCACTAGGTAAGCAAGCACCCTGCTGATATAGCTATAGAAAGCCCCAGGCCCTGTCCCCCCCATATATGTGTATTACATATTGAACATTGGTTTTGCTCTAACCTGTATAATAAGGTTTCCAGTTCATCCTATGGGATCAGCATACTGATCTGGTATGAGTTCTGGCTTCAATTCCCATCCAAGTATCTCACCACTTTTATGATTTCCTGGAGACCAAGTGGATGACCCTGAGCAACTTACGGAGGTAGAGAAGGGAAAGGAGCCTAGGGATCATGGTGGCTCAGCAACCTGTCCAAGGATCGTCTTCAAATCTCTTATCAGCAGAAGAATTGGACCAGGGTATCGCAGCCTCTCCAGCATCAGTGTGTAGGCAGGACTGGTTTTGAGCTGCTTCTCTCACATCCTTCCTGCCACACCCACTTTCAGGAAATGTGTAGATGGCGTCTATTGCAACAAGAGGGCCAAGTGAGACTCAAGTTTCAGGCCTTACATGGGCAACTTCCTAAAGGACTAATGCTGTGCTTGTGCTTGCTGGGTTCATTCTGAGATGTATGTATGTCTCAAACACAAAGAAAAAGTGTGTGTGTGTGTGTGTGTGTGTGTGTGTGTGTGTGTGTGTGTGTAGAAAGAAAGAAAGGAAATGTCTGTGTTGTGTAAATCTTTCTCATTCTCAGTAACAACAGGCTGGTCACCTCTATTAGGAAAGGTGTATTGGTCAATGTTTAGTGACCAACGTATCTGCCTCTCACTTTACATAAATCTCAGTATTGACATACAAGCTACATGAGTGAGTAGTGGTCATGAAGATTGCGCTTGTAAATTTGATTTTGGTTTTGTCATGAGAATTTTGTTTAGTTTAGTCTTTCTGTCGTCATCATCGCTGTCTTTGAGATTGGGTCTCAATATGAAGTTGAGGCTAGACTCAAACTTACCATGTTGGTGAGAATGACTTTGAACTTCTTATTCTTCTACTCCTATCTACTGTGGGTTCTGGACAAAGTTTTCAATCAAGGAAGCCACCCAATGCACGAAGATGCTCATGGAAAGAATAGGGCCAGGAATATAGTGCTTGTCTGGGATGCATGAGGCCCTGAGTCTAATCCCCAGAACCATCACCGAAAATAATCCCAGAAAGGAATGATCATGGTAGCGTTATTTATAGAAGGATAGTCTAGGCAATGAGAATGATAAACAAATCACAACGTAATCCTATAACAGAATGATCCCAAGCTTCAACAAGAACAAAATACATGTAAGACCATGAAGTCTGTGGAGCCACATGGAGCTGAAGGACCAAGACACATAAGGTAATTGTAATATAATATAATTGTAATATAATACTAGCTATTCAAAGGTCAACAACAGACAAAACTCAGTCATGGGGGGGGACCCAGAATGGATTATCTAAGAGGAAGCAGAAACTGACTGGAAAGAGTACCAAGGGAACTTTTGGGAGAGCTAAAAACAGTCTAGTCTTTATATATGCAATTAGTACACCGAGTCGTAAAAGAGAGATATGATAGGTTAAAGGCATGACAGATGATAGGCAGATAGATGGTTGGATGTAAATGATGGTAGATTAGATAGATAGATAGATAAATAGATAGATAAATAGATGGATGACAGATGATAGGTAGAGAGAAAATGGAGGTTATACATACATACATACATACATACATACATACATACATACATACAGGATATACATGTCATAGTTTCTATCTTGAATGCCTGTTCCCTGATGAAGCCTGATGAAGAAAGGGTGCGGGCAGGACCATGAGCAACCTTAAAGTAGTCAGACTCTGAGGTCTTCACCCAGCATGGAGATGACTTCCTGGTACCTGCATAGATGGTATCCCTTAATAGTCCTTCCCAACCCACATATTTCTAGACCTCACTAAAGCTATATACAATCAAGACAGAATTGCATAATAAGCCGTTTTCAGGATGGCTGCATACTCAGGTGAGGGTGCCATCACTCCCCAACCTCTCCTTCCCACAACCAAGCCCAGTTGTGATGGTTTTATTGTTGTTGTTGAACTCGTGAAGATAGTGGCAGTTCAGCTCAAAGGATAGTCCTATACAACACACATGCTCAAAAATAAAAAGCTTTCTTTAAAAGTAGATGAGTGAAAATGTAAAAAAGAAAAAAAAAGGAAAGTAAATAAATATTTTTTTCTAAATGTTCTGAGAGCTTTATTTATTTACTATGTACATGGTGTTCTGCCTGTAGGATGATGTCTACCTGCCCAACAGAAGAGGGCACCAGATCCCATTATATAGATGGTTGAGAGCCACCATGTGGTTGCTGGGAATTGAACTCAGGACCCTTGGAAGAGCAGCCAGTGCTCTTAATCTCGGCCGTCTCTCCAGTCAAAAAATATTTTCCCTTTTTTTTACAAGGAGGAAATAAACCTTTGTTGGAGATTCCAAGAAAGGGAACCCGGATGTGGCTTTTGGGCCACCCATGTTTTATCATCTGATGCCTTCCCTCGGGGTCCACCTCTTCCTCTACTCCTTCCGAACTGAGCGGGCACAGTGTCACGAGGCTGGCCGGTCTTCCGGAAGGTCTCTCGCTCATAGCTCTAGTATCCTACTCTACATACGTCGCTCCACAGGCTCCTTCAGCTCTGGAGGCCTGGAGTTCTTTATCCTGAAGGTGAGCAAGAAGCCTGGGAGGAGAATTTGCCTGTGGGTATTACAGGTGCACCACAGTGCCAGAACTGGGGGTCAAGATGGGCACGGGCAACATCAAAGAGGAGGCGGCAGAGAAGATGCAAATGCCTGTGGACGGGAGGAGAGCTCTCAAATGCTGCATTCTACACCAGGTGTGGCTGTTACATCTACACAACAAACCTCAGCAACTGTGGATACTACTGCCCAAGATCAAGCCACTTACAATTCCTGGCGTGGGCAGAAATAGCTACGTGTGTGTCTGGGCATCATGGGTATACCTGGCACCTGTGGATATCAGAAGCGGTTGTTAGAGCTCCTGGAAGTGGAGTTATAGATGGTTCTGAGTCAGCATGTGGGTACCAGGAACTGAACCTGGGTCCTCTGAAAGATGAAGCATCTCTCCAGCCCCTGCGTGTGGTTTCCTGTTAGGACAGACTGAGAGCCCTCCTGTTTAAGGCAATGATCTCTCTGACAGAATAAAAAAAAAAAAACTGGATTTATTCTTATTGTTACATGTGTTTATTTAGTGTGTGTCCATGCACACGTGTAATGGGGGTGTGTGGAGCTGCAAGGACAAATCGTAAGAGACAATTATCCCTTTTCAGACATTAAACTCAAATCACTGGGCTTGGTGGTGAGTGGCTTTACCCGATTAACCCTGTAACCGGTCACCAAAAGTGTACATATTTTTTAAAAGGCTTTTTTTTTTTTTTTTTTTTTTTTTTTTTTTATCATTGTCTCTTACCAAAGACCAAAATCTTTAGTATTAAAGGGATATCATGGACCCTGCCCAGTGCCACTATGGCTGAGCACGGAAAGGAGACCCACACACAACACATGCCCGGGAGACTATTACGGTGAGCACGTATCTGGTGGTTATTAGGGGGAGACAGACAGAGAGACAGAGACAGAGAGACACAGAGAGAGACACACACAGTGGTGAGTGACAGATCTGAAGAGATGAACGCAGTGAGGAGCGGTCTGACGTGGGCATCTTTCTTGCCATCTGGGTCCATGGCCCTGCTGCAACTGCAGTCTTTGTTGATGTTGACGCCCCTGGCTCCTGATTCCAACCAAAGAGGATAAAGCTGTACAGAGCTGGCCCTGCTCCTCGAAGGCTGCATCACCCGGGATGGCAGGCCCTGCACTTCTCCTAGGGAGCACACTTGAGCTGACCCCGTTGCCTGTGTCCCAGGTGAGCTGGCCCTGAGAAAGTGAATGTGTGATATCTGGCCCCACCCCTCACCTGCCGCAAGGCGGCATGGGCGAGGATGAAATGCCATCCCCTTCGCCCTCAGAACTCAGCACCCGTGGCAGGCTAGGGAGCTGCTGGCCTTCCCCGTTAACGGCTGCAGTACATGGGAAAGCAGGTCCTGTACCTCGGTTGTGCAGCACCGTGCAGACAGGGATGAGGGTGAGCTGGCCCCAAGAATGCCAGCGTGGGTGATGTCGCCCAGCCACTCACCTGCCATAATGAGGCATGGGCACGGGACAGATGTCCCCCTCCCCCCGCCCCACCTCTCACCTCCTTCGGCATTTGGAAGAGCTGGCCCTAAAGCCGTGAGAGATGGAGAACCCTCCCTGCCCCACAACAGATGCTGCATTCAGGAGAGTGGCTCCATCCTGCCTCGGGTCTGGGTAACAAGTAGAGCTGCCCCTGGTGGAGTAGTTGTGGGTGAGCTGTCCCTGGAGTTGTGAAAGCAGGAAAACCAGTCCCGCCCCTTGCTCCTTGTTGTACAGTGTGAACCAGCTGGAGCAAAGCTGGAGAGCTCACCCTGGTGGTGAAGATGGGGGACAGCTGGTGGGCTGACCGATGCTGTAACCACCTAGCCCAAGAAACAGGGATGGATATGAGTTGGCCCATCTCAACATCTGTAGGGCCCTGCGTGGAACCCCGAGGCACCTTGAGCAAGCCTGGAGCTGTTGGCTGGAACTTCTTGCCCCAAAGATGCTATTGATAATCTTCCTGTTCCTTCTTCCCCCACGCCCGAGTTGTCATTGGCACTCTTTCTGTTTTGCTAACACACACCTGGTGGAGAGGAGCTAAGCCTGATAAGTCTGTTATTTTCCACTATGCTGTAAGTCAGTATATAAGCCCACTCCATCCTCTCCCTCAGTAAATGGTATTCGGTATTTGGCATTCTGACATTGCCATCGAACGCCTGTCTTGTCTCTTATTTTAGTCTCTAGGCCTTTGCCCGATTCATGGAACAGAAACATCCACCCTGTATATTTGCTGGAGGGCCTGTCCTACAGATCCAAAGCTACAGGATCTCCATGACACAAGGTAACAACAGAACATCCAAGAGGGGTCCCAGTGAGGGCCCAGTATCAATAGTGTAGCAGAAACCAAAGGCCTCAAACTGGACCAATGACTCTTTGCAATGAACACTTCTAAGTAAAGATATATGGACTATAGAGGGTACATATACTGTGTGGCTCCCTGTGCCACACTGCAGCTTCCAAGATGAGATGGTCCCCCCCCCTCTCTGTCTGTCACACACACACACACACACACACACACACACGAATACAAAGTGGCAAAGCATCAACTCAATAACTTATCAGAAGCAAATGAGTCTGGAGAAGAATAGAGGAGAGCAAGAAAAGAGATACCAATAATAGAGGGAGCCACTACAGGTTTAAAGAGAAATCTGGCTCTAGAGAAACGCC